CATAACAAGTGTTGGAGAAGGTGTGGAGAGAAGGAAACCCTCATACACTGCTGGTGGGAGTGCAAACTGGTGCAGCCACTATGGAAAACAGTATGGAGATTCCTCAAAAAATTAAGAATAGAACTACCATCCAATCCAGCTATTCCACTGTTGGGCATTTATCCAAAGAACATGAAAACATGAATGCGTAAAGATATATGCACCCCTATGTTCATTGCAGCATTATTCACAATAGCCAAGACTTGGAAGCAACCTAGGTACCCCTCAGTGGACGAATAGATAAAGAAGATGTGGTGTATATACATAATGGAATACTACTCAGACATAAAAAAGGATGAAATCTTGCCATTTGTGATAACATGGGTGGACCTTGAGGGTATGATGCTAAATGAAATAACTCAGAGGGAGAAAGTCAAATACCATATGATATCACTCATAAATAGAAGATAAAAACAACAACAAACAAACACATAGAGACAGAGATTGGATCAGTAGTTACCAGAGGGGAAGCAGGGAAGGAGGAGGCTGACAGGGGTGATTAGGCACATGTGTATGGTGATGGATTGTAATTAGTCTTTGAGTGGTAAACATGATGTAATCTACATAGAAATTGAAATATAATGATGTACACCTGAAATTTATATAATAATACAAACCAATGTTACTGCAATGAAAACATTAAAAAAAATCCTATACTTGTTGATTGACAATGATACAAAATAAATCTGATTGGGAATTTCTTGTGATTAGATTTGTTTCCAATGTTGGAAATTGAGCTTGATCTATTTTTCCAAAAGTTGACCTGTGTACAGTAGTTCCCTTATCTGAGGGGCATATGTTCCAAGACCTTCAATGCATGCCTGAAACCATAGATAGTACCAAACCCTATATGTACTATGTTTTTTCCTATACATACATACCTATGATAAAGTTTAATTTATAAATTAGGCACAGTAAGAGATTAGCAACAATAACTGCTAATAAAATAGAACAATTATAGCAATATACTGTAATAAAATTCACCATAGATAGGAACCTCAGCATACTATTTTTTTTCTTTCCTTATTAAGTTAAGAACTTTCACCTTTTCATTTAAAGGAAGCACTTTAGGCTTCTTTTTGGCATATCTGAATTGCCAGTGTGGGGGATCAGAATTGGCCACCTCAAAATGTGCCTCTTTGGCTTATTTTTAAGAACAAAAGACTCTCAAAGAAACTTTGACCTTCCCCCTAACTACCTAAAAGAATTTAAGATAAAAGGCCTGTCCTGGGGACAGGCCATCACCATAGATAACTCTGGGGATAGGTAGACTGGCAGCGTCCTTGCCAAGTCCATTCTGTTCAAAGTGCTGTCTACCAAACATTTGCTTTTCCATCTCCATGTGAATTGCCTTCCTCCCCTTTGAAGTCCCAAACCATTACCCCCAACATACTCCTTTGTCTTTAGGAGAAAATGTTATTTAAGGTGGCGTCTTTGGCCATTCTGGTGAGTTACTCAGCTTTCCTGGGTTTCTTCCATGTATTCATTGTTATAAAGCTTTGTTTGATTTTCTCCTGTTATTCTGTCTCATGTCAATTTAAATCTTAGACCAGCCAGAAGGACCTAGAGGATAGAGGAATTGTCTTCCTCCCCTACCTCAGCATCACTAATCTTGTGCTTTGGGGCCATTATTAAGTAAAATAAGGGTCACTTGAACACGAGCACTGTGATACTGTGACAGTTGATCTAAAACCAACATGGCTTGTAAGTGACTAACTGACAGGTAGCATATACAGTGTGGATACACTAGACAAAAGGATCATTCACATCTGGGGTGGGACAGAATGGGATAGTGTGAGATTTCATCATACAACAGAACAGTGTGCAATTTAAAACTTATGAATTGTTTATTTCTGGAATTTTCCATTTAATATTTTTTGGACTGCAGTCGACCACAGGTAATTGAAACTGTGGAAAGCAAAACTTCAGATACGGAGGGACTGCTGTATTTGTATTGGCTTTATTAATGCAACAAAGCCATTATTGCTATTTTTTAAAAAGGAAACTGCGGTCTTTTCCATACACTGAGGGGGCAAAATAATTTATCTCAGGGAAATGTATTGTTAAGACAGTTTCATAGGTACACAGGTTTACCTAGGGGAGAGAGGTAGAGGAAAAAGGAGTTAAGTTGCTCGATATAATAAATAAGACAGATGGGATGATGGATCTGATGTCTTAGGAAAAGTACTGAGCTGAGAGAATATGGGTGAGGTCTGAGAAGTTCATGAGGAATTAGTGCAAGGGAGGTGGGCCCTGACCTAGCAAAGGAAAAGCTAGAAAGAGAGTGGCTGTAGGACTTTGATGCGGAATTCCGTATCTGCTGTTCTTCCTCTCCATAGATCTCAACATCTCCCCAAATCAAAGAATGGTACTTTGGAGAATGAAGGAGGTAGGGCTACGTCCGTGCTGGGGGCAAACCAGAACAAGATGGGAAAGGTAGTTGCAGCACATGCAAGGTTTGGAGACAAATCAAAAGTTAAACTGGGAGCAGACATTTGGAGCAAACAATGGCTGGCCACCATCAGGAAAACGTAAGCCGGACCCCCAGGAATCCTCGGGAGTCGGGGGAGGGGGAGGGACAACCCAAGTTACTTGACATGACGGCTCTTCACTTACTCTGGATTTTTAAGAGTTAAGCAGGAGCCCATAAGACTGGGGAATCTGGAGACATTCCCAAGTCGATGACAAGATCAACATATTTAACAATGTTATTTCCCTTTTCAGGTAGAATATTTTCTTTAACTGTAAAGGAAACTACATTGGATAAGATGGTTTATTTTTTTAAAACATTTTACTTATCTTTAATTAATTTATTTACTTAACAACTCTTCTGATAAATAGAGGCAATGAAACTATGACTTTCAGCCTTAGGAGAGAAGTGGAAAATCCAAAATAAAATTCCTAAATCTATTTTCCCCTTTTGCTAAGTGGTTCTTCTTTTAAGAAGATATATATATAACATTTCTTCTATAGCTGTATAAATCTCTTCTAAGAAAGAAGTACATATGGTAAAGGAAGGACATCATTAGAGTCCCTTTAATAATTTGACAACTGTTATTTGTTGCATTCATATGTCTAGGAACAATATCTATTAACAATGTTTTCCTTTTTGGGACACTTGTATCCTATGCTATGTGTAGTAATGAAGAATTGTGGAACTGCATCTTGAAAAAGTGAATAAAAAATTTCCACCATCAAATTACATTGAATAATTTTCTACTCAAAATACCTTTTTTTTAAAAAGCTGATCTTTGAGCTTTTACTCCTTTTCTTTTGATTTTTCCCCAGGAATGTATGTATACATAGTACATATGAACCACATATATGCACAGATGTAATATGATGTAGGTATGATTATCCAGAAATAGCCCTTGAATAAACTAAGACTCATAGAGCAAGTTCACACTGCTGGGAAATGCCTCAGCATTCTTGCTTCATGTATCATCATAATTTCACTGGGCCTATTTTAGTTTACACTGGGCCTATTTTAGTTTACATGGATTGTATTAACTCATTCATGGTATAGCCAGCAGAAGAGTGTATCCATAAGGCACTTAGTTAATTCTCAGTTGCTTGTAGACTACTCATGCCATTTCTAAATCTTAGGCAGGCTTTTTCTTATTGGGAGTTATAAACTCATACTCATAGAGCTGCATTCTGATATTCAAATATTTAACTTCTGAAAATATGTTAGAATAAACCAAGTATAAATGAGTAGATCTGCTACTGATATGAAATATATTCTAAAATCAAGTATATATGACTTCTGGATGAATTTCTATTTCTGTCTGCAACACTGTTTCTGTATTATTGATACAGATGATCAAGAATTGACTGCATTCAATGTTGATGACTAAGTTTACTTTTGTATTCCTAAATATAGTACAAAATGCTTTACCCAAGTGTCCTAATTTAGAGAGAGGTTAGTAAGAAGCATCCAGTTTACATAAGCCTTTCTAGATGGGAAGACAGACAGATATCTCCCATATAAATGAATATTTTTAACTAACCAGAGATAAAAATAGTATATCAAAACTTTCTCTTGGGCAAGAGGTTGTGTACAGGAACTCTCTATTGCCAAACTCCCACATCAGTTCAAACCCAAGATTACAGGCAACAACCATGTTTGCCATACTTAAAGCCGTCCCTCATGTTGAAGAACAAATGAATTTTGTGACATATGATTTTTGAGTATGGGGTCTGGTATAAGCTTAGGAAGACAGAGGCTGTTGTACATCTAGAATCGGCCTGCCTAGCACTGTGTGGGCAATCATTGCTGAATGAAAGAAGTAACGAACGAATGAACTCAATAATGTCAATGTTTCTTTTGCTAACACGTTTAGTTATATTCTCTGTGTGGTACTTACTATTGCACTGGAGGCAACATGACATGATCAAATGCCTTCTTTGGAAAACAAAACAAACAAAGCAAACCATTTTTGATAGTTATTTGAGAAAACCTATAATGAACAATATTGATAACGGCTCTAGAAATGCAAATTAATCTAATTTGATAGAATCTAAAATATTTAAACCTTTGTTTATTAATAAACATCACAGAGGGAAAAGAGATATTCAAGGGACAAAAAGGAGGTAAATATATTTACTATTTTTAGTCTCATTTAAAAAATTCCTATCATTTGTATTTGCTCTGTTATATGAAAGAGAATTTATATATAGACAACAAAGACATATTTTCTCAAGAGAAAAAAATAAATAGATGTAAGACATATTTTCTCAAGAGAAAAAAATAAATAGATGTTTAATTCCACTAGACTCCCTAAACTGAGAGCTGTTGTGAAGGACTTTCCTAATACTGTGTTAATTAATTGACTATGATCAGGAGCCATGTCAAGAATTTCATAATGAAGATGAAATATACCAGCTGCCTACAAACACATGAATCCATGCATATATGCACTATTGCTGTTTTAAAATTCAGTTGAATGAAAATAACTTACCTGACACAATAATAATGAGGATCTTAGCATTGGTAGCTAAGAGACTATGGAAGAATTTCAGAGTAGCTGGGATGTCTTTTACATAATATAGCATCTAGAAATGAAGGAAAAGAGAAATGAGTCACTTTTCTATGTCAATGTCTTTGTTACTTGGACTAGACACTCATTAGAAAGTTTTATTTTCAAGTTGAGTGGATTTTTATTCAACAAAACAATTAAGGGGCCAGTTTTGTGGCTGAATGGCTAAATTCGCATGCTCTGCTTCGGCGGCCCAGAGTTTGGCTGGTTCGGATCCTGGGCACAGACATGGCACCGCTCGTCAGGCCACATTGAGGCAGCATCCCACATGCCACAACTAGAAGAACCCACAACTAAAATATACAACTAAGTACTGGGGGGATTTGGGGAGAAAAAGTAGGGAAAAAAAACAAGAAGTTTAAAGACTAAAGATAATTGTAAGGAGAGATACAACAATAATGTGAGAAAATATTTGGTGAAAGGGAAAACTATAGTATTTGCTCAACCAGAGACAAATAGTTTTAAATTTACTCTTTCTGGCTTCAATAACACAGTTATTTATAGCTGGAGACGCTTAGTCTCCACTCCACACGGGAGCATTGATTCTATGCTTACTCCCTATTTTGTGAATTGTAGTTCTTCTGGGAGAAAATGGTGCCAGCACCATAAAAACAGACTCCATTTCGTGGAACATTGCCTTAAAATTAAGCCCTTTGCACTGTCTTCACCATATGCTCACAGATGCTTTTTTTAAATCACAGAAGATATGACAGACTCTGATATTGACAGATTCTCAAGGAAAATAGACTGGAGTAAAGCATGAGATTACATGCTTGGTCACAAGATGCTAGGGGTCAGCCCACCCATTTTTAATCACTCTGGACCATCTTTGGGGAAGTGCAGGAGAAGTCTTTCCACTCAACACAGATAGAACTTGGAATTATACATTGGCGGTGGAAAATTTTCCTTAAGGGCTTGCATTCCTGGAATCTACCCCCACAAATACTTACTACTTATATCTCATCTTTGTCTCTTTTGGACAAGAGTTCAATATTCTATGTAGATGCCCATGACAGAATTTATGGCATAAAGCAAAAAAGAACCTAAGCTATGCCCCTCTCATATGAATGAATGAAAGAAAAGGGACAGGCACAGGGCCCTTGCTGCCTCAGGAGCCATATTTAGTATCATGTCACTCCATGCTATTCACCACAGGGACCATACATAGATAGGTACCCAGATACAGCTAATCCATAAGATGGCTAACAATCTATGACATGACCTGGCTAAAAAAGAGGAGGTGGGTCATGGCAGATGCTCTGAAATTTGATCTGATAAACACTGAGATTCTCTGCAGTTGACTGTGAATATTAAGTTGAAAGAATGTCATGAGAGCAGTAGGACTCTAAAGATCAATGAAGAGACAACAACATAGCAAAGAAAAATGCAGAGTAGATAAAGAAAGAGAGATGAATAAAATAGTAACGCAGAGGAAGCAGAGTTGCTGTGAGAAAGAAAAAACAAACATGGAAGTTTTGAGAGAAATGGGAGAATGATCTCTGAAGCTGCCACATTTTATAACAGGTAAAGAATGGGATCCACAGCATAAGTGGAGGGATTGGCTTTTGATAAAAGGCTTTTGTAGTAAGATGGAAGAAGGAGATAGTGGGTACGGGTGCAGCTATGTTTGTAAATCTGGAGGGTGAAAGATGAGTTTCCATCTGATGGTTTCTGTTTTTGCTATACAGTATGAAGTGAGGTCATCAGATGGGAATGAATGGTGGGAGAGGGGTTATAGGAGGTTTAAGGAGAGAGAGGGAGTATGAACTAGTTATCTAAAGAGGTGGGAAAGCAAGTCTAATAGAGAAACACCATGTGCTTGCTGGACAATGTTAAGCACTCCCTTATAGGTAAATGATTTTGTCAGCTAAGAGAGCAGAGATGTAAGATTGCCTGGATATGTCAATCTTGCAGTCATTTTTTCCTTTGATTTCTTTTACATTTATTCTTTTGGGGTGACTATACTTGTGGACCATAGAAAGAAAGAAGCATCTTGTTATTAATCAAGTGGTATTTCTAAAATATACACATCTTCTAATGGTAGCCAACATCCAAAGCCTATCCACCTATATGCTATTGAGAAATATTAGTAATCCCTGGAAATATGCCTCCATACCATCTACTGAATAGTCACCCCCTTTCCAAGAATTACACTCTCGGTGCTAGAACATGGAAATAAATTTCTACTGAATGACTGTCTGATATCAGTAAAACTTTATTGACCTCAGGAATCATCTAATCTGCCCCTTCTGTCACATGTTCACTAGCCAGGGCAACAGAAGGCAAAAGCAAGAGAAGTCATAAAACTCTGGGACATTGGTCCATCCAGACCATTAGACCTACTGGAGAACTGTGCTAGGATGTGGGACATATGTCCTCTATTGTCCTCAAATCGATCTATGACCTTTCAATCCTACAAAAATTAATTAAGCCAACATTGAAACAATATCAACAACTCTAGAAGTATTTTGAGTAGAGAAAACTAGCTTTTTGAATGTTACAGAGAATCTCTTAGTATTATCAACCTCTTTATCTCAATTGGACGGATAATGCTCACTTATAAAATCAGATTTTCGTTTTTCTTTTTCAAGTTAGAATACTAGGCACTCTTCATACAGATTTCTGAAAAATCTCCTTTCTGAGAGTATATAACAATAAATGTTTCTTACCTGAATCATATGAATAAAGTCCCACTCCTGAAGTTCTTTTTTCTCCATCATTCTATTTTGATATTCAGATGATGTCTCCTTATGCCAAGCAAACTTTATGTTCTCGAGGTTTGATGTCTTGGCTACAAGCTCTAAAATACAGAGAAGTCGTAGCACACCATCAATTTTAATTGCAAATGTGGAACCCATTTCCATCTAGAATTTTAATGCAATCAATGTTATATACATAACAGATATAAAGCACATTTTTCTTTTTTATGTAGCTCTGGAAGACCAGAGAGTTCATCCTGATTTTTTTCTAGTAGTATACGAAATTAGAGATGAAAGAAAGAGCCAATAATAATTATGAGAACCCTGATCAGACATAGGTTACATTATCTCAGTATTAATGGGGAATCAACTGGTGAGTTTTATCAATGGAAATTGATGTAAAACAGGTGATATAATTCTGTAATCCAGGAGTCAGCAAACCACAGCCCGTGGGCCATTTCTGGCCTACTACCTGTTTTTAAGTGGACTGCAAGCTAAAAACATATCCTAGGGGCCAGCCTGGTGGCAGAGTGGTTAAGTTCACATGCTCTGCTTCAGCAGGCTAGGGTTCGCAGGTTCAGATCCAGGCACAGACCTACACACTGCTCAACAAGCCATGCTGTGGCAGCATCCCACATATAAAATAGAGGAAGATTGGCACAGATGGCTCAGTGACAATCTTCCTCAAGCAAAAAGAGGAAGATTGGCAATAGATGTTAGTTCAGGGTCAATCTTCCTCACCAAAAACAAAAAATAAAGCACAGAAAAGACATACCCTATTCTACTTCCTGACTTCATGCCTCTGTCTTTCATATCTTGTGCCATTATATGTTTAAATGGTTAAACAAAATCAAAATAATAATAATATTTTGTGATACATGAAAGTGATATAAAATTCAAATTTTAGTGTTTATAAATAAAAGTTTATTAGAACATACCCATGCTCGTTAGTTTATGCATTGTCTACAGATGGCTTTGTGCTACAACGACAGAACTGATTAGTTGTAACTGAGATTGTGTGGTCTTCCAAGTCTAAAATATTCATCATTTGGCCTTTTTCAGGAAAAAGTGTGCCAACTCCTGCTGTAACCCATTAAACATAAACTCTTTATAAACATGGATTCTCTTTAAATATTTCTGAATGAAGTAATGACTCTCTCTCCAAGAATAAACACCCAAAAATAATAGTTGGTGACTAGGGAATGGATGGAGAGTCAGTAAAAAATGGACTCTAATTATTCACTGTTTCTATTGTGAGGGGTTTAGCCATGCCTGCCAAGGAAACAACTTAATTAGGTTCTCCTCCCAATAAGCTTACAAAGAACGTACTGCAGTAACTATGTTGTAAATGACTGAAGGGACACACTAGGGATGACCTGCCTTTCGGGATAAGATTGGCATACAGCATCATGGGTTACAGGTACCTTTGTACTTGGCAATTTGTTCAGCACTTGGTTCAACAACTTCATTGTTGATATGAACTCCTGGATATTGAGCCTGCACTTTGGAGAGAATTTGAAGATCAATTTCACCTGGAAGACAAGCATATGGAACAGTCACATCAGCCCAGAAAGAAATCATGAAGAATAATTTGAGCTAGTTTATTATCTGTCTTACTTTTACTAGGAAAGCCCATCATAAATAATGAATAATGCTCAACTGTTGCCCTGTAACGATGCTGTGATGCAGAACAGCTAGGTTGTAAGTAGGAATAATAATGTGATATGAAGAGGGCTATGATTGTCACTCATTCATTCATTCACTCATATAACCTCTTTACACTAAATCTAATGTAAATCCCATTAATTACAGGATTCAATCAACCCTTCCTTTTGTATCCCTAAGTCAAAAAAAAACCCACTGTCAATCATAATTTTAAGATTTCACCAATTGGAAGATGTATTTCAATTTCAGAGATGTTAAAATATGAAAAAATGCACCTTAGAATTTATAAACTAGGCCAGGCCAGAAGCATACAAAAAATGTCAGGTACAAAAAAAGGATACAAAAATATGTCAGACATCTGCCCTCCAAAACACCATGATCTAGTGGAAAAGGTAGACCTGGAGAGAACTGTGGCTGGGTTGGTCTGAGGTACGAAGAGGAATGGAGATAGTGAGGGAGAGGATAGCAGCAGAGGCCAGAGAGATGGAAAGCTTCATGGAGGGAGGTCACTCCTGAGCTCTGTGTTATGGAGCAAATGGAAGTTAGTCCAGAAACATCTGGGAAAATGGGTAACCGTAGGAAGAAAGGACAGGAAGACAGAGGCATGAAGTCAAGAAGCAGAATAGTATATGTGGGACTACTGGAAGTTCAGAGTTTTGGCATACTGGGCAAGGCAGGGCCTCCAAGAAAGAGGTGATCCCAGAGGAGTAAATGGAGAGGAGGTTATGGCCAAATAGATATTTATGCATTACTTCATCTACCAACTATTAACTGATTGTTTACTATGTGCCAACCACTGCACTAGGCTCTAGGAAATAATGATAAGAAGAGCACATAAATACGTGCCCTGATGAGAATTTAGCCTATAAGTGAATGCATGAGAGAGATGGTGGTGAGTTGGATGAACTTGAGTTCTAAACTGTCTTCTCCACTTATTAGGTGTATATGACCTTTGGCAATTTACTTTATCTCTCCAAGCTGTATTTTCCTCATCAGAAAAATAGTGATAATAATAGCACATAATTTATTGGTTGTAAGGGTTAAATGAGGCAATGCATATAAAACACAGTGCAAAATAGAGTTGTCACCCAATAAATGTTAGCTGTTCATTATTTTTATCGTTTTCATTGAGTCCTTCTCTTTAAAAATATCTCTTCTCTTCCTACTGCTGATGCCTCCAACTTAAGTTTTGCACTTTTATTCTCTTGGGTTATGATGTTGACCTTCACTAAAATTAAACTATCTTCTGGCAAGACTAGCACATGAAAATGATGTTGGTCTTTAATCTTTGGGCATAAACAACATTAACAAAACCTTTCCAAGGTTAGATATGGCAGACAACCAAAACATAGGTCTTAAGTCTGGAGGGAAAGAGATGAGGACGATAAATCAGGAACAAAAGATGCTAGACTAGGAAAAGAGGGCAGTCTAAGGGTATAATGAGAACCCCAAGTACTGGTAATAGGAGATGGGGAGAGAGTTAATGAGTAGGAAGGAAGCTGAAATGGAGGATGAAGGAACCTATGTGACAGTTTTCTCTAAAGGTGGCCCTACCAACATGAAACCTTTTATTCCTTCCTTAATAACTGTAGCTGCCGTTTATTGGCCACCCATTTGTCAAGCACTGTGTTAGGCACTTTACCTGGAATGTCTCACTTGATCTCAACCACAGTCCTATCACAAACTCCATGAAATTGTTTCCAACCAGATAAAGTGATTTGAGTAATTTGATACTCACGGGATATTAATATGCCTAATATATAAGGTACATCCAGAGTGTTTGTTCTTCTAACTACTTCATACTGAGAAACAAGAGGATACCAAATATTAAAAGGACATAAGAATTCTTTTTTTCTTCTCTACAGTAACATTTTTGAAGAGTAAAAAAGTAACTAAGGCAAAAGGCTGATAAGAAAAGCTGTAGGCTAATGAGAAATAGAGAGATTCCAGCTTGTCCCAAAGAACCAGAGGCCAGAAGTTCTGTTCTTGACTGTCAGCCTAGCCATATATTTTAAATAAAATATCCTCAATTCTGAGGATCCCAAATCCAACATTTTGAAACTCAATAATGTGAAACGCAATAATTTTCCCTCTGGGGCTTGATGAGCTCTTCTTCTCCTAAGATGGACCCCAATATTTTGGATCTACCCAAATGGCAGAATGGATCTAGTACATCCCCAGAGTATGTTCCTATCTTGTCACTTTCCCAAGCAACACAATGTTCTACCATATTCAAAGCCAGCCAGTCCCTCCTCTTGGGGCAACATGTTAGAGGACACAATGCTAAAATTGCCCCTGAGACATGGCAACCGTGGGCTCACATAACAACCAGGTATGGACATGGGCCATCTGTGCATTCACTGCTGGATCCCTAGCAGAAATGAATGAACCACCAGAGGAGATAATGAAACTATTTCCTTAGAAGTTAGCACATAAAATTCACTTCTGGCCTCATAAAGCTGGTGACCATACTTCCTGTTTGCCAGGGACAGTTCCACTTCATGCTCATTGTGCTGGGGCCCCACCTGGCTTTGTTTCTTATCCCAAGTTGTTTATTTTTAACAAAATACTATTATTAGAATTTGATTTTTGAAAATAGTTTTTTAAAATAACTATTTTATAAATCAACCAATATAATAAAAACAACTTGTTCAATAAATAAAAATTTCAGAAAATTAAAATAATTTTAATTCTTTTACCTACTCCATCCAAATCTCACTCTTAAAAGTATCCTGGATTTGACAATAAACAATGCCACCATGCTCAAAAGGCACTCATTTTTCTGTGCTATTTTTGTTATTTATAATGGACTCTATTATTTATTATTGTGAGATACACATGTAGATAGATAGATAGATAGATAGAGATAGAGATCTTCCATATGATAATCTTTTCCTTGGTCGCATATCCTACATAGTTTGCCTTCTAGCATTCCTCAGAAATAGGAGACATGCATTTTTAAAAATGATTTATACAAACCTCTTCAACAAAAAGAGAGTCAATAGAGAGGCACTTCAGATGGTCCATGGTATTACAGTCTAGTCTAAACATTTAGCATTTAGTTATAAATATTTTCTTGATACATCACTCTACTGTTCACTATCCATCCAGTCACCCAAGCTTTGCTCCTTCCTTCATCCTCCTTCCATGGCCATCAGCAAGTTCCATAAATGGTTGTTTACTTTCTCTTTTCTGTCCCTACTAGCAATGCCCTTGTTCAGACCCAAATTATCTATGTCTTGGAATACTGCAATAACATCCCCCAAATTCAGCCTATCTCTGCTGAACCTTGTCTCCCTCAAAGCCGTCGCTACAACCACCATTTAAAACCCTAAGCCCATCACTTCCCTCCTTAAAACCTTCTAACGACTAGTCAGCTGGATAAAGTCCAAGCTCCTAACTGAGCATAGTCCACCGTGCCTGCTTCCTTATTCTCACCTCTCAGAATTTCATATTTTGAAACTTTTGGCTCCACGAACCCTGCATTTCCACCCTTCTCGGCCCGCCCCCCCACACCCCTATACACTGTGATCTTCCATGCTTTTCGTCTTTTGCCAGTGCTTTCTCCTCTACCAGGAATACTCTCTCCACACTTCCTCACTTTATCTGACCAAACCCTATGCATCTTAAACTCTTCCACACGTGACTAATTACCTTGGTAGTCTTTCCCACCGAGCCTGGAAGCAGCATCAGAATCCTTCTGACAGAAACTACCCATCAATTGACTGGAGTTGGCAACACAAAGAAAACCTTCTGTGTTCCCTGATGTAAACTATTGGTCTACTTCACTTATTTTATTCACTAGCAAAGGCCTGATTCCAATGAGCTTGCTAAAAAGTATCAAGGCCTCTAAAATGCTAGATGGAACAACTGAGCAGGTTTGGTCATCAATCACTGAAGAGCATGTGAGGGGTTATCAGGCCCTATAGTACCATGAGCCAGCAGTAAAGAGATTCAGACAAAAAAAGCGGAAGAAGACCATTTGTTCTTTCTCAGCTGAATCCTTCTGAGCAGGAGCCGTAACGTTATGAATGTGTTCCAGTTATCAGACGTTAAGTGCCCTATAAATGCTTTTAAAGAACATACAAGCCAAACTAATGTGCCAAAAGAATGGGGGAAGGTAAATGAGAAATGAGTCCATGAAATCATTCAGACATTCTCAGCAAATTGAGGGGTAAACAAAAGAAATGTGGAAGCCAGCAGCCTGCTTCTAGTGTGCATTCCAAAGACTTCTGCGAATCTTAACTTTCAGTTCCAGAAAACAGCATTTAAGGGGAATAAGGCAATACATGTTCATTTCATAGTCAATCTCCTTTCACAGGTGCCCTCTCGTTAGGCATTGCTTGATTATAATTCTGACAATTGTAGACAACTTAATTTTTGACACCCTAAGCCATTAGATACATAAACGCCAGTGGTTGTTCAGGTTAACCAAAGCCTTATTATGTGTTTCCCCCTGAAGTTTTGGATCAAAATCTGCAAAGTTTCCTGTGACAAATGGAAAAATTATAATGATTAAACAACTCTACTCCAATTTACTTCCCTTCCTCTCCCCTCCCCTTCCCTCCCCTCCCTCCCAGCCCCCCACTTTCATGACTACCAAAGCAAATTAATGATTTTGGAATCTGTGCATTTTATGATGATGTGACTGATTTTCTCAGTTGATCGATATGTGGAACTTGAGCAAAGTTAGGAAAAGTCCAAATGTGTCACTATGAATCAATGGGTTACGGAGTAACTTCATGTCAATACACAGCATTTAGAAAGATATGCACCCAATTACAATCAGAGGTTATCTCAGGCTGGTGGAGTTACAGGTTATTTTCCATTCCCCTCTTTTTGCTCATCTATAATTTAAAATGTTCTA